GTAAATTCTGTTACTCTGCAGAGGGTATCTGGTGAGAATGATGCCACCATGGAACAGAGCCAAGAGATAGTCTTGCTGGTTTAATAAATACGTATAGAGCACCAACCATGATTACTTAGAGAGTAATGATAGAGCAATGATCAAAACAGGGAAAATCTCCGCCCTGCAGGAGTGTGCCCTTCAGTCAAGGAAGATGGTGAAACGACAATAAAATAAATGTGAACATGCCACAGTGTGTGTGATGGTTCTAAGTGTGATGAGCAGGAATAAAGCAGCAAGGAAGAAATGAGGGAAGGTTGGGAGATGAGGTGCAGTGCTTTTAAACATGGCAGTCAGGGGGCACTGAGGTTACATGTGGGCCTGGGGGAGGGTGCCACATGGGCATCTAGGGGAAGAGCCTTCCCAGTACGGGAAAAGCAAATGCAGAGGCCCTGAAAGGAATGCGGAATGAGTCAGGCGGAAAATAGTAGGAAGCAAGTCTAAGTAGGACTTGAAGTTGGATTATACAGGCCTTGTCCAACATTTTAAGGATTTAGCATTCATCTGGAGTGGGATGGGAAGTGACTGGAAGGATCAGAGCAGAGAAACAACACCATCACACCTACTCTGGTTGAGGGAGGCAAAGGCAGCTGGGCTGAACGACCAGGGCCACTGCTCTGATCCCTGTGAGGGCTGTACCAGTTGGTACCAGGGCGGCCGCTGCCTTAAGAAGTGGTGGATTCTTGTAGAAGTCAGGTTCTGGATCAGGTGTAGGGTATAAGAGAAAGAGAAAAGCTGACAGTGATCCCCACCCAAATTTTGTGCCTGAGCAAATGAGATAATGGAATTGAATTTACCAAGATGGGGCAATACTGTAGAAGGGCCAGGTTTGAAATAGGGTGAATAATTTACATAATTTAGCTTTAGAAATGGGTTTCCCTGGTAGCTCAGCTGGTAAAGAATTTCATCTGCAATGCAGGAGATCCTGGTTTGATTCCTGGGTCAGGAAGTTCCCCTGGAGAAGGGACAGGCTACCCAGGCCAGTATTCCTGGGCTTCCCTTGTGGCTCAGCTGGTAAAGAATCCGCCTGCAATGAGGGAGACCTGGGTTAGATCCCTGGGTTGGGAAGATCCCCTGGAGAAGGGAACAGCTACCCACTCCAGTATTCTGGCCTGGAGAATCTCATCAACAGAGGAGCCTGGTGGGCTGCAATCCATGGGGTCTCAAAGAGTCAGACATAACTGACAGTCAATTTGAGATAACGGATGATTCTCAAGGAAGCAAAGAGCTGAATCTACCCACAATGAAAGCTAGAATTACCACTTGACTTCTCAGTCACACAAAGCAGAATATGTGGCCTCCACATTCTTTCTTGCAATCTCAAAACATAAACTTCTTAATATGTCTCCTTTCAGAAGCCATATCATTTCATCATTTATATGCCATCTGAAAGTTTTCCTCATCAGCACATTTAGATAAAAGTTGTTCTTAAGAGGTAGCTGTCTTGGGTTGCCAGTAACAAAACTCCATCTTATTTAAAGATGCTAATTAGTGTTTAACTTAGAAATGCTTTAAAGAATACAAGTATCTGAATATCAGAAATTAAGTGCTTAATGGAAGCTCACGTGCAATACTTGAGCACCCTTGTATTACTGACATTAATCAAAAATATCACTCAAGGTCTGTATGAATATAAAGCCTTGCATATAGAATTCCCTGATTACAAGTACATGAAACTTGCACATTCTAAGCAAGATGGTGAAGGACTCCAGAAATTTTGGAGGTTTGAATTCATCATGTTCAGTCAAGAGGAAATACATAGTACTTCACACTTACCGGCTTCTTTAGATTTCATTCACCCATCTAGCCACCCACTCAACACTGAAGGAGTGACCCCCAGTGCCATGCTGGGCACTGGGGCTGGATGAACAAGGCGCAGAAGGACTCATTCCCCATAAAGTTTACAATACAGAGGAGAAGACAGAGAGCAAGGAAGGACTCAAAGATGTTATTTTCGTTCTTTATGCCTGAGGCATGACAATAATTTTCCTCAGAATGGTAATCACAAAAGCCTTACCAAAGTTCTTAATTAGGATTTCAAGCTAATACCACATTAAAGGTTAGGATCACTATTAAGATCTGTGAGATATACTTTTAAAAGATTTTCTTATTTGTTATTTTGATATATTTGAAAAATTATTACCATAAAATTTCAAAATTAACAATGGTCTTTTATATAGAATATTCAAATAGTTACGGGATTTTAATTCTATGAATTTCCCACTCAGCATAAGAAAACTTTCTTTAATAACACTGACAGCCCCACAGACAAATTCCAGTTAAATTATGGCAGTAGGAATGTATCATTTTCAGGAGGATTTTATTCAATTGTTGGAAGTTCCATCACATTCCAGTTCCATGAGCACAGAAGTTCTGTCTATCTCTGATCACCTTACCTGGTTCCTAAACACAAACTAAACTCCCAATAAATACTGGTGCTATGTATGACATGAACATTCTAATTATATGGCTGAAAGAGAAGATAGCACAGTGAGTAAGGCTAATTTGTATGGCTCTCTGGCTACTTACTCTGTGATCTCATGGAGTTATATATAACCTCTCATATAATTATATATATAGTCATATAATATCTCAGCAAACTATATATAATTATATATATATATAGTTATAAAATATCTCCAAAGTGTGAGACTATTAATAATTTCCAAGTCATGGTGTTGCTGTGAGTATTAAGAATCAATACATGAAACACACTTAGAACAGTGACTGGAAATTGCTCTCTAAATTGCTAGTCATTAAAATCATAATCATCATCATTATTATAACCTGCAAATTTCTACTTTAGATGGGGTATTTATAAGCTATCTTTAAATTTCAAAGGGATTTTGCTTCCTTTTAAAATTTTATTTCACTCACTGTACATTACCATGATATTCCTATTGATTTATAATCAATCTCTTCCTTCTGTCTAACCAATTCACTAAGCTCTTCACTGATTCCATGATGATGTCACACTGTCTTTTACAATCATAATTTCTTAGTGAGTAATCACATCAATTATTAAGTCAGAGGAAAGAACCAGATACATCTTTTTGCATATATTTGTGCAATCAGAAATTTTGATTAATACTGTGCTTTGAATATATAAATAATGATGTGTATTTAAATCTTACTAATTCAGAAGTGTTATTGGGAATACCAAACATACTTAGTGAGAAGTTCTAAATGCAGAATATTTTTAGCTTATTGTCACACCTGTATGTTCCATGGTCTAAACCCCAACCATGTGCTATAAATAAGAGATTGGGTCAGGCTTCTCCTAATAATTAGTGAAGGACAATTAATTATCACATTAGATGGCTGCTTGTAAATGCATGCTGCTTAAAGGGATTAAAGTGTTTTATTGCTAAACTTTTACTCCAAACTTTTTATAGATAATATTAATATAAAAGTAACCATATGGGCTTTGCTCATCAAATTAACACTGGTTAAAAAAAAATCCAAAGTAGTAGAATTATGTTGTTGTTGTTGTTTGTTTTTCACTTTTTGGTCACACTGTATGGCATGCAGGATCTTAGTTTCCTGACCCAGGACTGAACCCACGGCTATCTGCAGGAGGAGCACCTTAACTGCTGGACCACCAAGGGAATCTCTAGAATTATCATTATATATATGTTTTAACTTAGATCTTCTCTGGTGGATCAGATGGTAAAGAATCTGCCTGCATGTGGGAGATCCCTGGGTCAGGAAGATCCTCTGGAGAAGGGTGTGGCACTCCAGTCTTCTTGCATGGAGAATCCCATGGACAGAGAAGCCTGGTGGGCTATAGTCCATGGAGTCCCAAAAGAGTCAGACACGACTGAGTGACTAACACATGTTTTAATTTACCCACAACACTAGCCAATACAATTAAATTTTATACTATTTTTGTTCTTAGCAATTTTAGCTAGCCAATGAAAATCTAGGAATTATATATGGAAATAGCATTAATGAAGTTGGTGATCAAGCAAAATAACTATTTCATTCCCATATAGAGCAAGTTTAAAAACATTTTTTACTGAGTTAATTAATTTTGGGAATAAACTTAGAAGAAAAATTGATTTATGCAAGTCAAAGTAATACATCATTGTGGTAAAATTAAAGTTAATCCCTTCATACCTCACATTCCTCACCTTTAAGAAAGAAAGAAAAAATGATACCTATCTTAATGTGGTAGGTCTGAAGTGTAGATGTGGAAATACATGTCAAACATATGCACATAAAATGTTCTCAGTCGCCATGATGATGATGACAATGTAACTCAAGAGACTGCATTGTATACAGTGACTACATAGATACTGGTTGCTATCAGTTTCATGGAAATATATGTGAACAGCAATCAAACTGCAAATCACTGATTTTCTTGTAGCCTAACGTAAAGCCAGGTTAATGTATAGCTCATAATTGGTGTTTGTGAATGCACCTGTGAATACACAGTTACCAAAGACTCAGCTTTGAAGGCAACACTGACTGACATCTCTGGTCAGATTTTTTTAAAATATCAATATATTCATGTGGACCAACATCTTTGGATTGTAACCTTTAATTGTACACTGCCCTCTTTCAAATAATGTAGGAAAGAAGAAAAAAATCACTTTTGATTGTTTGGCCTGAGCTTTAAGTTATTCATGCTTATCAAACATCCTCAAGCTTTGGAGACCTAAAAATACATGAACAAACCAATTAGTGTGATCACATTTTTAAAAGAAAAGTGGATAGACATGACTGAACATCCCACACTAAGATTTTTCAAAAGATGAGCCTTCATATTCACAAGGAATTTCTAACCAAAGATTTAGGGGAGTCAGGAAGACATGTATGTGTGCCTCTGAGTTTGAGCTGGCTTTATGGAATTAAATGAGCTTATGGACTTGGGTTGTCCATCTAGACTAATAAAGAAGACTATTATTTTTAAATGGAAAGTACTTTTTTTGCCATTTAAAATATCAGAATGTACATACGAGTTTTCTTGGTGGTTGCATTAACTGTGGCACTGAAGGGACCAGGACCAGCGCTGTTGAAAGCCCGGACAGCCGTGTAATATGCCAGGTTGCTCCTCAAGCCACAGAGTCTGGCTGATGTCACATTTCCCGCTACTTTCAGTTTGCTTGATGATTCCTCTTCTCCTCCATCATTCCAGTACCTCACCTGGCAGACAGAAAGCATAAACGATGCGGAGGGTTGACAAAACAGCATCCTTACATTAAATGATTTTCACTGACATGGGCACTGTAATGTAAGGACTTCATCAGTTATTCCACAAGTAGTTATTAAGGACCTACTATGTGCTAGGTGGCTCAGTGATAAAGAATCTCCCTGCCAGCACAGGAGATGAGGGTTCAATCCCTGGGTTGGGAAGATCCCCTGTAGGAAGAAATGGCAACCCATGCTAGTATCCTTGCCAGGAAAATCCCATGGACAGAGGATCCTGGCAGGCTACAGTCCATGGGTCTTCTCAAGGAGTTGGACATGACTTAGCATGCAGGCAACGTGCTAGGTGCTGCTTTAGGCTCACAGAGGTGAAAGAAAAGGGACCCCAGGAGGAGGTGGATATTAAGTATACAAATAAACCAAATAAATTCAAAGAGTAAGTGCTACATGCTACTAGACCATAGCCTTATAAATGGGAAAATGAAGGGGAAATCTGCATTTCTAATAGACTGAGCTGCTCCTGTTTTTCAGGCCCTAATCAACCTGGCCCAAGTTTGACTCCAGAAGGCTGACAGCTATGCGTAAACTCTAAAGGACGGTGAAGATTCCTTCTATGAAGAAAGTGACTTGTTAGAGCAGAGACCATCAAAAAGCCAGGACTGTCCACTGGCTTGTCCTACAGTGACAAGTAAGTGTCACTAAGGCAGCCTGTGCAGGCGGAGCTGCTACAGAGAACAGAAATGCAGGTAGCAGGTAAATTTATGGATATATTGAAATATTTCATTTGTATTTCATTATACTGAATTGTGTAATATGATCTGAGACTTCTTATAAATATATATATTTACATTCACAGTATAAAAATGTAAAAATAAGCCATGAGAGTATTTGATAAATTAAAGAAATAAGGGTAGAAGAGATAACCATGAGACATGTTCCCCAGTGAACTCCAATTTATGCAATGAAGTTTGGCTATGTTTGGTAGACAGTTTGTACCCTTCATAGGTTAAAAAAAAAAGAAACAAAACCAACAGCAGCAAGAAAGTTACCAAACTATTTCTCATGTTTTCCTGTGATATGTGCTCTTTGGTTTGATTTTCACTGTTCTACTTTGACAGCAAAATATGAAAACAATAAACCAATTCTGTAATTTGAGTAAGTAAACAGTTGCTCGAGCACCATGAAAACGGCAATCAAACCTTAGCCATCAGAGTCATCATGCAATAGAGACTTGTGGGGTCTGTGGAAAAAAGACAGGCAAGTCTCATCTTTGTAATGGAAGCTCTGCTCAGTTCTGGCTGATGGGGAGAAGGTGGACCCAGGGCTTACAGGTCTTTTTATAAAAGAAAGCAGAAATCCTGCTTTTAATGTCAAATTGTCCTAAGTGAAGAGTTGGCTCCATCTTATAAAAACAATGTGTGGACAAACAAAATGTGTTTATAGGCTGCATACAGTAAACCCATTTCAGTTCTCTGAGAAAAATACACCTAAAGTTACAGCTGTGTTTTGTTTTTTTCTTGTAAATGATCAACTATAAAATTATTTCTTTAAAAAATTAGTAGTAAAATATAAAATCTCAGTAGTAAAATATAAAATCTCAGGTTTTTCAATAATAATCACAAAATGCCACAGTAATATTATGCTAGATAAATATTTTCCCCATATATGTGCATGTATATTATGCATATATATTTATATATTTATATTTATATCAATGACCTATTAAATTCATGCAAAATACTGGGCTCATGGATAGGGGTATGTGCATTTTTCCTGGAAAGCGGTTGTCAATTTTCAGAAAAAACTTTGAAAGGAAGATGCAAGCCCAAGTGACTAGGATTAAACTGAACATGTAGTTCCTACAACTTTAAAGCATTAGATATGCTAAAACTCGGGCTTCCCGGTAGCTCAGCTGGTAAAGACTCTGCCTGCAATGCAGGAGACCCTGGTTCGATTCCCGAGTCAGGAAGTTACCCTGGAGGAGGGACAGGTTACCGGCTTCAGTATTCTTGGGCTTCCCTGGTGGCTCAGATGGTAAAGAATTGTCCTGCAGTGTGGAAGACCTGGGTTCGATCCCTTGGTTGGGAGGAGGAGGGCCTGAAACCCATTCCAGTATTCTTGTCTGGAAAATGCCCATGGACAGAGAAGGCTGGTAAGCTACAGTTAATGGGGTCACAAAGAGTCAGACATGACTGAGCGACTAAGCATAGCATCAGTCAGTCAGTTCAGTCGCTCAGTCGTGTCCGACTCTTTGTGACCCCATGAATCGCAGCACGCCAGGCCTCCCTGTCCATCACAAACTCCCGGAGTTTACCCAAGCTCATGCCAGCACATACTAAAACTTGATGATAAGATTGTAGGGGAAAAAAAAGTCCACATATCTGTCAGACACCATTTACCATTCTCAAACAAAAGTACATATTTTTTTTATTAATTAAATATAACATGTCAAATTGTCTTTTATAAAGTCACACCCAATAAATTGGGGCTTCCCAGGTGGCACAGTGGTAAAGAATCCATCTGCCAATGCAGAAGGTGTAAGAGATGAGCTCAATCCCTGGGTTGCGAAAATCCGCTGGGGTAGGAAATGGCAACCCACAACTGAGCATGCACATGCACACATGTGACAGATGGCTACTGAAAACTCATACACTGCGTTAGCCAAAAATTTTATTTGGGTTTTCCTATAACGTCTTACAGGAAAATGCAAATAAACTTTTTTGACAACCCAATACATTCTAAATTCACCAACTGTAAGCACTAGAGGTACTGCTAGGTTTAGATGACTCCAAACATAAAATGCTCTCCCTGCCCTTGAAAGCACTGTCTAGTTATTAACTAAGAATGGCACATAATTGAGAATTTTAACAAAACATTATGGGCAACCTCAAAACTTGTGGCCTGGGATATAGCATAGATTGGGGAAAAGATCACATAATTATGAGCTTTAGTAAAGGTCACTCAACATGTGGAAGGGCAGAGGTCAGTTGAAGTTAAGTAATCTATCAGGATCCTTACATACTGGCCTCTTGTTAGGTTCCAATCCTTGCATCGTTCTTCTTGTACTCAAATTACCTCAATATAAGTTGCCTAAGAAATCTCTCCTTAGAAGACTGATTTAAAGAACAGATAAAAACAATTTTCAATTGGCATACGGATTATCTTTTATAAATCAATTCATAAAAGGTGCTTGAAGGCTCTTAATAGCAGTTTCTGAAGCACTTGAAGCAATCTCTATGTATCAGAATGAGAGATTTATTTTTAGATCTCAGTTGCTGACAAGTATTATCAATATTTAATCATAAAGAAAATTGGTGCAAAAATTGAGCACAGTATTAGTTCGAATTGATTATATGATCTTCTCGAATAGCGTTACTTTAAAAGTTGAATAAAAATGCATATAACCAAAGCATAAAGAAATAAAGCAGTGACATATATATTTCCAAGTAATAAATCAGTTACATTTTGGTCAAAAATATTTATATGAGGATAGATACTTTTATTATATAAGTAATAAGTTACTTATATTCTATAAAATTTTGTTCAAAATATTTGTATGAGGTTAGGCTATTTTTAAAGAGGGAAAAGCCAAGCGTGAAAAGAGACCAAAAGTTCTACACCTGAGAGGAGAGAATATAACTCCACACTAATTTGGATTTCCCAAGCACAACCACAATACAGGGATGAAGAAAGGAAATGGGAGGAACAAACTCTGAAAACACAACTGTGTAAAAAGAGTTAGTGTAACACTGACAGAACATGAAGGCAGCACCTACAAAGGAAGAGCAGAGAAAGAAATCCTACAAAGCTCACGAAGGGCTCTGCCGACAAGAAGCAGAGTCAGCGGACTGGACCACAGGAGACCAGCTATAACACACTTCCCTGAAGTGATCTTAAAATGAGTATATTAAAAATGTTCACATTTACTCAAGAAGGGGCTAAATTTATGATATGAGAAGAGGAGACAAAGAAAAAAGATGGGGCAAATCTGAAAAATATCAAGTAGAATTCCAACCCCTGAAGAATACAGTGTTAAGAAAGAAATCAGTCCTAGAACTGAGCTGGAGACTGGAAGGAATAGAAGAATGAATAATTCCAGAACATGAAGAAAGAAACAAAAATTATGAAAGCCAAGTTAAGAAACACTGAGAATAAAACAAAATGTTCCAACCAGAGTTCCAGAAGGAAAAGTCCAACAATTAAAGGCAACAATTAAAGAGAAAATGTCTTGAGAATTTTCCAGACCTGAAGAAACACAGACATTTTTGTGTGGCAGCTTCACTGAGTTCAGAGCCAGCAAATATAAAAGGCAAAGCTACTCCAAAGAAAAAGGTGATTAAGACTGAATTGTGGCTCTCAACATTGTTTCATCACCTGAGAGGTACAGGTCACTCCCTTCATCAGTAGAGGATGACCCTGCCTTGGTTTTTGCTAGAGGGAGTGTGCCCCAGGGGTAGCAACTGAATTCCTCTGCACAGCAGATAGCAGGAAGGGAGGATGCTAAAGTAGAATCAAGCACAGAAGGCAGATTTGTCTTGGTCATCACCATAGCTCTGCCACTCAGTACAAAGCTTGTATACATCAAGTACCCAATATTGTTTAATCTGTAAATAACTTAAACACATGCAGTTTACAAATGCCTCCCTCCTTCCCATCTCAGAGATACAGCAGAAGTATGTATCTGGTCTCTGCTGGAGTTTCCTGACACACACCTCCCTCCAAATCCTTAGGATGTCAGAAGTGATAAGTGTCATTGTATGCCAACGAGATATCTGGTGACTGTGCCTTCCTGGTTACCTTCAGGATGGAAATTGGTTGCCAGGGTAATCAACCTTGTAATTAGAAGGTTGGAACTTTGAGGCCCACCTCCTGACACAAGGCTGGAGGTTAATTTACTTTAACTAATGGTCAATGATTCAATCCTTCCTTCCAATGAAGTGCTAAGGTGCTTTAGTTGTGTCTGATTCTTTGCAACTCTGTCAACTGTAGCCTGCCAG